ATTTTTTAATATAAAAGAAGAAAGAGATTAAGAGACACATGAAACTATCACAGCTATGTACTCACTGAGTAGCCATGGATAAGCCAATTTATATAGGTGTTTCTTAGTGCTGGGTAGTGACGGATTACATCTAATCTGGATTACATAATCAGATTCAGTACATGTAATTAGATTATATGACATTTTAAAATGCTCATATCAGATTACAGTCACTTTTTTATGGATTACATGATTACATATTATCCACACAACGGCAGAAAATTATTAATAATTTATTGATTGATTTTCTCTATACCAGTCTGGGAAACCATGATGTAATATTATGTTTAATGCACTTCATGCTTGATGCAATGGAATATTTTCTCTCTCTTTGTTTGTTAGTTTTTTTTATATCAATATGGTACACAACAATCCCATTCAAATCTAGAGGATAAACGAGTTAGGTCAAAAGTAATTAAAAAGTAGTTGGAATACATTACCTAAAATCAATAATCTAGCAGATTACGTTACTAACTACAATTTTTGTCATGTAATTTGAAATCAGCAACGGACTTGCAAGTAAAGTATTTTTTGTAAGTATTTTTTGACTCCATATTATATTTAACCATTTCTTTTGGCTTTAGAAAAATGACGACATAAATGCCAGTTGCTTCATTGTTGTCTTTATAATATCACACATGCCTACCCATCTTAAAAAAAATAAAAATTAGGAATCGCATTAAGATCATCATATTTGGGGATCCTTGGCATCAAAAAAGAAAAAAAAATAAATTATACATTTTATTAGTCATTATGCAAACATATACATATAGGCCTATATATATATGACCACAGACACAACACAGTAAAAGATTAGGTAAGCAGTTAAATAAATGCAAGCAAAATAAGACCAATCATAATTCAGTATGCAAATTAAAACTGCAATTCAGTAAGCAACTATAACAATCATCACAGCAGTTGCATTCTCTAAATATGTCAACTTTAATCGTAAATGTCTCAGACAAAGTCTAAAAGCAGTCGTGCTACGTGCACGTTAACGGGTCGTGCTGAATTAATAGCGGAGAAGAAAAAAAGTCTCGCAAGAACTATAATAAGCTTCTCAGTAGAGTGAGATGTGCTGCAGATCTCATCAGTGTATGGAATTATAATACGAGTTGCTGATGTCTGGGAGAACATCATGTGACTACACCCATGCTCCTCTATTTCTGGCTGTAGCTAAATCATACATGTAAGCACACGGCACGACGTTACGTACGAGAGAATTCATCAAAACACAAATCTGCAGGCTTGCCTTAAACACAATCTATCGAAACAGAGAAGAACCCACATTAACCCCCGCAGTTTTTGAGAAGGGTGGTGTTGTCATAGCAACAAAGAGTAAAAATAACACTAAATAACACACTGTTTATCAGCTCGGAATTCAATAAAACTGGACTAAACAGACACTAACTGACTATAGCCAGAAATGATTAGCAATTACGCACACTAGTACTAATTAAGTCGAGCGATCTAATTGAGTCTAAATTTGTCTTTTCATCCATTTGTTATTTCACAGGCTATCATTGCGCGGCCCTGCCTCTTATTCATGTAAGCAATTAATGCTTGTCAGGATAATGATACATATAAGGGCAATGTTTCCGCCCCGGTAATTATTTAGCCCATGAGCTAACACAAGTCTGCTCCCATCTTTTCCTTTGAAGTGACTATTATGTTTTCAGAGAAAACCGTTTAACGTGTCCTCCGTCCCGGCCGCAAACAAAGGGCATTTCGAGCGTAATTTATGCGAGCAAACCGGAGATGCACTCAGCCAGTGCGAAAAGCATGGGTGACAAACAGATCGATCAGAATATCATATTATCCCATTTATATTATGCTTCCTCCAAACTCAAATGAGTCATCAGAAAGCGCCCGAGCCAGAGAGCACGGCCTGCGTTTGCCTCTTCTCCAAAAATAGCCCGCATTTTAATGTCAAATCTCGCGTAGACTGGCCTAAAGATTTGCATTGCCAAACAACACGGTGACCTTTGGTCGAGGCTTCTTTGTCCACGTTTAAAGCACAGCGAACGCCCTTGTTTACATGCGTGTGAAATGGCAGACAGGAGGAGATGAAGGGGGCTGCTTCGCTTTGAAACAAAACACTTGAAGTAGTTACGCCTCGCAAAGACACCTGGGGCAGCCGTGCCGCTCCTAATTGAGAGATCATACATCTGTCTGAGATGCAGGCATCGCACTGGACTAATGAGACAGTAAACTGGTACGAGGCGCCAAAGAGGCGAGCATGAGAGAGAATGAGGCATGATGCATGTTGGCTTTGAATGGAAATATCAGATACTAATGGCTGCAAAGCTCCCAGATCAACCCCGTCAACCTTCAGGATAGTTGAGGATCCTGTCGGCTGCGAGCTCAAGTGAAAATCCAATTTTGCTGGAGCTGCAAAAAAACAAAGATTTTCATCTTTTCTTTCCAACTCTTCGGGATTCCAGAGCTCGACCGTGACAAGCAACAAACCTGACAGATCTATAAAGGTCATTTGTAAGCACATCACTACACAGTATGAAGCATCCGTCCAGAAGTCTGTCTGCCTTAAAACAGCATTATTTTGAGTGCTGTATATCCATGACTTTCTCAGTCGTTCATGATTAGTTCATGGAAAGTCAAAATGATCATTAAGGGTCGAAATACAATTTTTAAGAGTTGTTTTATTTTGTAATTAATTTTCTATGAGGTTTGCGATTTTATAAAAATTAAAAAAAAAACACAAAAAATAAAAATAATAATATTAAATAATAAAATTATTTGTTTTGTCATTCTTTATAAAAATAACGTTGGTGACAAGGTTGAAGGTCAAGATATTGAATACCAATCCAACTCATGTTTTATGTATGATTTTAATCGTTCGATACAGTCGAAAAGGTCAAGACCTGGGAAAGGCCAAAACCACATTTAAA